CTCTAGAAGACTTTAATGCATCTACTAATAATATTTATTCCTAGTTAATTAAATACAAACTTCTCCAATTTCTTGGCTTTAATAATATGTACAATTTACAGTAGATACACACTCTCACAAGTCTACACATACATGGCACAGAGCCAACCTAAGCAGTAAAATCAATTTCATCTGGGTATACTAACCAATACTATAATATCTCACAGAATATGATATAGATGACCTCAACACTAGTACTCAAAGCAATCACAAGATTTTAATCTTATGCTGGCTCTTCCTCTACGCAACCACTAGATAACAAAGACACAAAACCTGCACTTGAAGAAGAGTTTTTAAATACAAAGCAATAAACTTAGAAAAGTAGGATGACTTCGCAAACCAAGTTAATACAAACTTGCAGCATCACAACACACCCCTCATACCCACAACATTAGAATCTCTGGAAACTACATGGTACAAAATCCAGACTAGCCTTATCACAGCAGCACTTCAGCATATTCCCAATAAAAAGTTCACAGTTCATAACTTTCATCACACATTCTCTCCAAAAGCCACCCAGCTCCACCACAGTCTTAAGAAGCTCAGAAATATAATTAGAGTTGTAAAACACCAAACCAAGACCAACCAACAGACCCCAGTCCATCTAAACAGTTCAATAGCAGACCTCAACAGACTACATAATCTAGAAATACCTTTTTTTACAACCAATACTGACTGGATAACCAAAGCCAATACTGAATAAAAGAAGCTATACCACTCACATAATCTAGAAAACATATAACAAACACATTACCAAATCACAGAGGCAATCTCCAGAAGATGTGCCAAGCTCCAAACCAATCTAACCTCTATGCTTAACAGTATTCTGAATTGGCACAGAGATCCTGTTAAGTTTGACAATATTAAACTAAACCAAGATATCATTACAGACCCCACTATTATCAAAACACATATCCAGCAATACTTCAATAACTGGACAGCAACCTGTCTAATTGATGAGATCTTATTTAACACTGATTGGCAAACAGAATACAATTCTCAACCTCACATCCAACAAGACTGGTACCAGGAAGTACTCTTTACTATAACTTAAAAAGAGGTTCTCTCCACTCTCAGCCAATTACCTAACAATAAAGCCTGTGAGCCCTCTGAAATAAGCTATGAGATGCTTAAACACACAGGCCCAACCTTTTTACAAGCCACAATGGCACTTCTTAATAGATGTCTTACTACCCAAACAGTCCCTAAATAGTGGAAAGAAAGCAGAATATACTCTATTTTTAAAAAACTAATTTTTAATAGGAACCTAGCTAACACGAGACCCATTAGCCTCATTGAATATATTAAAAAGTTATATACTAAACTCCTTACCAATCAGCTAAACAATATTCTATTCAATCACTCAATCTTATCCCCATTCAACTACGTCACACTTCTAGGTAACTCCGTCTCAATCTCAATCCACACTCTTAACAATATTATAGAAAATGTAGTATGCAACTCCAACCAGCTATGGATACTATTACAAGACATGAGTAAGGCTTATGACTCTGTCAACTTTAGCCTTTTTAGAAAGTTACTACACAGAATAGGCATGCCTGAACCTCTTATCAACATCCTTACCAACCTCCTCTCTGACCGCTCCAACAGAGTCATAACCAACCTAGGTCTCACAAATCCCTACATTGTTAAAAATGGTATTGACCAGGAAGAAACTATCACCCCATTATTCTGAAGAATCTTACTATGATCTATTAATTACAAAAATCTCCACACAACTACCAGGATATACAATATATACTGCATAGCAAACAAGCCTAATCTCATCCTCTACTAAGAGGCTACACTGCTCTATATCAGTTCTCACATACATAGATGACACTGTCTGGATTGCTCAAACCAAAGAAGACCTAGAAAGAATCATATTAACTGCATCATCCTTTTACAATATGGCAAACATCCAGGTCAACCCATTCAAATCCACATTTATATCTAACCAAACTGATGCTAGTATCTTTTTTCTACAAACAAACCTAAAGACAATTCCTACTAGCCAGCCTTTCAAGTTCCTAGAATGCTGGTTTACACTTAATAATAAGCACTCTAAACAGATCAAGCTTATTAAAGATGAAGCTTTAAATCTAGCTTATACTGCAGACCAGAAAAAGATTACTAACAAACAGACAATATATGTTATTAACACAGTCATAATCCCCACACTGGAGTACAGAATCCAAAATATCATTATCCCCTAATCCACCTGTATCCAGATTCTTGACAAGTACCTCACAATTGCCAAACACAAAGCTTACTTATCTCAGTTTATTTCTAATAGCACAATGTTTATCACAAAATCTATAATATCTACAACATCTAGGATATACAACTCCAACACCATGCTAACAATCTGCTTCTGAGAATCAATAACAGTTCTACACTCAGTATTACTACTCACATCAGGCTACAACAACTGCAAAACAACCTTTAGTTAACTATTAGCATTCTTCAACATCCACAGCCTACTATAGATAGACCCAACAGGCATACTACCACATTTAAAATAATACAACTACTACAACATGCTGACATCAGTCTAACTATAAACCCAGACAGAGCATGGCCCCAATTAATCCAAGATAGCAACACACTACTAGAATCTATCCTTTCTAAAAGCTCCAAGTACAGTATATTCAAACAACAGCTTTGAAATAAATGCATCTTATACCTAGAGCAGCTTAGCTTAGCAGACAATAAATACCTACTTGAATAGTAGCACATCTTATCAAGACTTCTATACTTACTCAAAGAGAAAAAACCAGGCTGGTTTTCATTTCTAGAAGACATTATTCTTGACAACTCACAACACCGATTAATATATACACAATACCAACTACCAGGCATTAACCTCTTTGCTTACTAGTCTAACACTATTCCAAAAAGCTAAAACCATGGATACCTACTTATCTGCAAGATGAGATTATTATAGGCCAAATAAAAAGAAACTTCAAACAAACCAACACAGTCTCCATTATATACTGGCAACACAATATAAATACAAGACACTACCTACCATACCCCTTACCCTCTATTGCATGTAGTCCATGCCCTGGCTACAAGTTGAACTCTAACTGGCTTGCTAATCACTGCACTCTCAAAGTTTTTACTACACTATCTACACAGTTCCTTGATAGAAAAATGAAAAACAAAGAACTTAAACTCAACGCTAACTACATAGACCTCCTCTACTCTACAGCAGTTAAGCACCCTATTACTATCCCACCTCTACCTAATATAAATATCACAAACTTCTTAGCCTCAACTCTCTTCCACAACAATACAGCATGCCAGCTACTAACACAATATACCCTTAGCAATATCTACACACACATATTTACATTCTATACAGACAGCTCAGTATCAAACATAGATACTAGCAACTGCTCAATAGGAGTTGGCTGAATTCAAATTGACCATAACCAAGTCTGTAATAGCTTTTCTGCCAAAATTCTCAACTGGCCCTCATTATACAAAGCTGAGCTACTGGCCATTCTATCTGCTATAGCTACACTACCGTGTAATACCAAGGTTGACATATTCACAGATTTTCAATCTATCATCTCCAAGTACTATAAACTTCTTAATACCCCTTCTACATCCTCAAAATACTTCAAATTTAATTACTAGCCAATCTGGCATACACTTCTTAATGCTATTAAGGCCTTCAATATCCAGCTTACACTACACAAAGTTCAGGCACACTCCAATAATCAATTTAACAATATAGCAGATACCCTGGCCAAAACACACCAACAACTCTCCACACTGACTCTTCTATTCAATCACACAAATATATACAACCCACACTTCACTATTTAGTGGAAAAAACATAACATAGAAAAACCAACTAAACTATTTGTTAAAAACATATGCAGAGCATTTACAATAGCACTATGGTTATTCTAAAAGTGTAATACAGAATAGGAACACTATACCCAAACAATCGATTGAAACTCTACCTAGCTCTATCTCAACAATAATCTAAAAACAGCAACTGGCATTACCTCACCCAAATGAAGGCATTCAGAATCAAATTCCTGCTTAATGAACTACCTACTTACTTCTACTTCCACCTTATAGCACCAAAAACCTATCAGGCTGACACCTGTTTCTCCTTTGGCAACTCCAACTCCTCTAACTACTGGATTAGCTGTAACAGCCTACCAACTCCCAAGCAGATTATAGATACCTTAACCAACTAGATAGTCAATAAATATCTTAGTGACTCTACCCCAACTCAACACAACGCAATAGTAAATCTTATCAAATTGCATCTCTCATTCAACTACTTACCTACCCTCTCTTCTCAGATATATTAGCTACTATATACTTTAAAAGGCCTAATCTCATCTCTACTACTAAAACTACTTCAAACCTCCGACCTACAATATAAAGAATCAGTGGATATTATCATACAAATTCTACTTTTAACATCGGCCAAAATCTATAACAAATCTGGAAGCCATACTGTAACAGATTTGCAAAATGAAAAAAACAACACTATATAGCATCTCACAACAAGGTTATAACAATATAAGCCCATACCCATACCAAGCGCCAGTGGAAAAAATACACTTACAGCTACCCTTGTGGTATAGCAAACCAACTGCATGAGAACAATAGCATCTGCCCTCCTAAAGAGCAGGCATAGCTGAAATTTGAGCAATGGTTCACAGCATAGATTTAATACAGCATATATACAAACCACATACTTACTATTAAAATCTAGGTGAGTCTTGACTACTCTAGTAGGTTTAGGTCACAAATAACTAATTTAGCCCTCTAGCTGAGTTTTTAGTCTGAGCTCCTATTCTTGCATGTAATTTATATTTTTTGTTATTATACAAATAAAGTCGTTCTATATAACTACTTATATAAACTACTCAATAAAGATATGAGCAAGGCCTCACCTTAATACTAAAAAAAAAATAAAAACTTTGTTGTTAATTGATAGCGATATTTTTGTTGTTTAAGATAAAAATATTTTCGTTTTTCTAAATTAGATGATAAATCTAAAGATGTTAATTTATTAAAAACTTCAGCAAGTGTTGTTAAAATAAATGATTGTGATCCACCTAATGCTGATACTGATTCCAAACTTGCTATTGAAAGAGTTGTAGTACTAATTTCTAAGGTTGTTGCTTGGAATATTGCTAAAATTGTTGCTAAAGTTGTTTCTAGAATTGTTGCAGGAATTGTTGTTAAAGTTGTTGCTAAAGTTGTTGCTAAAGTTGTTGCTGAAGTTGTTGCTAAAGATGTTGATAAAGATGATGCTGAAGTAGAAGATACAGATATAGATATAGATGATTCAACTATATAATTTGGATGATCTTTATACTATTTAGTAATAGCTTTTCGCTTTTGATCTAATCTTCTAGCTTTTTGTTTTTCAGTTTCTTGAATTAATGATAATTTATATCTATCATCATTGGCAATATGAGGTGAAGTTGGTAGATTTTTTCTTTTTAGTAGCATATTTATAATTATTCTAAATCTAAAAAAGTTTAAAAATAAAATACAAAAAAAATAATAATTAATATTAATTATTTAATTAATATATATGCTAGCAAATTGCCAATTTGCTATTCACAGTATTAGCAACTATATATATATTAATTAAAAATATAATAAAAAAAAATAACAACAAAAGAATTTAAAATGCAATGATCTCAATGTGAGCTAGAAAATAAAAACTTTATAAAAAATATACTATAAGCTAGCAGACTTAGCAAGATAGTTATCTATCACTTTTATATAGCTAGAGCTTGCAAGAGGGTTTACTACTTATATTTACACTATCAACAATTATATATAGATTTTAAATTCAATTAATATATATGCTAGCAAATTGCCAGTTTGCTATTCTTAGTATTAGCAACTACATATATATTAATTAAGAATAAAAACAAGTATACTGTATATACTAATAAAATTATTTTAAGTTTTAAAATCTAAAATTAAAATTTGAAGATGAAATTGTTTTTAATTTATTTTATTTAAAAGACAATACTTTTTTTGAATAAACGAAATTATAAAAAATATAAATATTATTTGTTTTTCTTATCCCTTAAACTGTAAGCAATTCTAGGCAAATTTGCCTGAAAAATTGCTATAAATTTGTTTATAATTTACTTTTTTTAAAATTTAAAATATTTACTGTAAATAAAAATTTTTTTGATAAGACTATGCAAACTTAATAATTTGGTTTTTATAACATAAAATTTTTAAAGTAACCTGGCAACCTGGCTTTTAATTTTATTTTTAAAAAATTTTATATATAAAAAACAATAAAATTTTTTATAGATTTTTTTTAAAAAACTCACTCGAATAATAAATACTGTATACTTAAAATTTTTTTAAAAAGATTTGTAAGTTTTGATCTGGCCAGGTTATAAAAACTAAATCATTAAATTTGTATAGTCTAATATTTAAAAATAAGAATTATATTATCACTTAAACTATATTCCAGACAAATTTGTCTAGAATTTTAAAAAGTATTTACAATTTTTTAAATAAAATTAAAATTATTAATACCTTGTGCAGCGACCTTATGTTCGTGAAATGTATTTTTTCTAAATATGCACATAACACCCGGATTAGCTAATACTATCCTCCATTTATAGTAAAAACATCACTATAAAAAGTAATTTGCTGTATTATGAACTTGAAAGCATTGTATATGGTCTATGCTCTTGTGCTTACTCTTGATGTTGATATTGATATTGACATTGATGTTGTGCTTGCTCTTGCACTTGCAAAATGGTAAAAAATTCACAATTGTATAAAATTTTTTATTTTTATGTGAAAATTGTACGGTTTATTATAGTAAATTATACCTGTTTTTGTTATTTCTCTCTTTTTCTCTGTTTTTATTTTGGAGTTTTTGCCGCCCTGATTATATGATAATCATAAAAGATAAAGACATTTTTACAATACTTTTATGTTCGCTAAGCCAATAATTTGTTGCCTACTTTTTTTACCGGCAGTCTCGGTTTGTGAAACATGTTTTTACTAAATTTGCCCTAATTATGTCACTTAGATCGGTCTTGCGATAAAATGATCTAAGCCATGTGCAACTTGTATATGTAACATGTTATTTATTCTTCTTACTTTAACGTTAAGAGTTCCTTTGTTTATTATCATTTTATTATTTTAACATTTTTTTTTTATATTACATTTATTACCGGTAATGTTATTAGAGGTCTTTATTGCATACTATACATTATCTTCTTATTAGTATACTACATCGAAACGGTTAATACAGTCAGACCTCTCTAAATACACGTCATCGGGACCAGCTCTAGCACATGCATTTAGAGAGGTATTGCATTTAGGGAGGTAAAAATCTATAGATATAATATTAGTTGGGCCCAAAAGAAGACGTGCATTTAAAGAGGTGTTGCATTTAGGGGGGTAGCATTTAGGGGGGTCTGACTGTATATAAAAAACTTGAAATTATATTTATTTGTTAAATAATCTTTAACTTTATTACCAGATCAATCACACAATAAATTAGATTTTTGATCATTTAAAAGTCAATCATGAAACTAAATAATAATTTAATTGTTGTTCATAAAACATACCAAATACTAAAAGTGATAGAATTTTTCTTACTTTAGTTTTTTTTTCATTCTAGTGTGACGAATTATAGTTTAATAATTATTTTTTTGGTGCTTAAACAAGTCAGCACATATTATATTAACAATAATAGGTATCTTAATTCTGTACTATGCGTGGTCTTATTAGTATAATATATTACACAATAACCAGCAAGATTGTCTGATAAAGAAGCTGTAAGACTTAATGTGTTTAATTGCATTTTTATATGTTTAAGAAATCTGCACAGCCCCGTTTTAACACGAAATAGATCATTAATCTGCTTTATTATAATTCTCCATTAATAGATAAGCTTATTTGTTAAATGATTTCCCTTAATATTAAACAATACAAATTTTTATTTCTGAATCAATCTTACAATAAATCATCTCCTGATTATTGTTATTCATAATACACAAATACCAAATACTAAGAGTAGAGCATCCAGGGTACTGGGTATATAATTCTGCTCATGCTAAATCTAATTTTTTATATTGTTTCTATAAGAGACTCATTATTTAAATCACTTTCTAAATCAATTACAATAAAAAAGGTATTTTTAGCATGAGCAGAAATATGCAATGTGATACTCTGAACATTCTGACTGATATTAATAAGAGTAGTTGAATTTATGCTCCTTATTTTAGTTGCGAGTCTCGAGATTAACTAATACAATAAAACTTAAAACTTGATTTGATAAACAGGTTAATACTTTTTTAGCGCTTAAAAGCATCATTAATCTGCTTTAATAGATCCCTTTTTATTGTTCTTTATATAATAATAAAAAGTTCCTTATTAAAGTAAAACCTGATTATGTTAGACTGTCAAGCAATTGTACTAATAATTATACTTTATTGTATTAAGATATTCCTTAATATCAAGTATTAAAAAGATCTATCGTTCATAATTGATGAATTTACTTATTTATTGAATGATCTCCTTAACGTTTAACAATATAAATATTAACACGACAAAATATTTATTTCCAGTTTGATTACGTTAAATTGGATTTTTAATAAACGTAAAATAAAATAATATGGATATTGTTGTTTTATATAGTACACGATAACTAACCAGATGCTATAAATGATCAGATTTATGTTTTTATATTTTAATTACAAAATCAAATTCGATTTTTACTTTTTACTTATACATTTATCTTATTGATAATCTAAAGTTCACTAATCTTTATCTGATGCACTCGAATAATAGAATTATTGTTGTTGCGTGATTAAATATCGAAATAATACCTATTCTTATCACATAATCAGAGCTGTTAAATTTTTGGTATCTAAAATAGCACTAGCGATATCATGATAATCACATTTGTAGATCTATAGAATACTAGTTTCGCTTAAATTTAATTATAACCTTGTCATAATATCGTTGATGCTATTTTAGATACTGCCAAAATTCTGTATTTCTGCTTTTAGTATCAATCTATAATTCAGATAATTGCTTATCTCAAATTTCTTGAATAAAATCCTACTTAATTTCATCTTGTTCTCTTTTCTATATAAAAAGATCTTGTAAAAGATGTATAATCAGATCTATTTTCATTATTGCTTTATTCTAAAGTTTGCTATACACCATATTCCTTACCTATAATTGCTTACCTTCGACTATTTACTTAATTTGTAAAATGTCATCCTTATTTATAGCATTCTGTTTTGCTAAAAATGTTACCAGAAATGACAGATACATTTCTGGAACCGCCTTGTACTGAGTTAACCATACCACTAACAAATTTAGAGAAATTATCTTTAAAAGGTTTATGCCTAATTCTGAATCTTTTTTTTTTTTTTTTTTTTATATATATTTTAAACCGATGTTACAGGTGCTAACGCTTTATTGTATTTTTATATGTTTATTTACAAACATTTTTTGGTACATTAATGAGTGTACAACTAGCCACATATACAACTTTTGGTTGCCTATTTAAGTAGTCTGCCTGAAGGTTCTACACTAGCTGCCATACCTGCAACCTGCTAGAAGATTGCCTATTTAAACCCTCTGATCTTCTGTACCTACTCCACAATTAGCCCCATAAGTTCCCATACACCAAGGTGCTATCTAACTTGATATTTGTTTTCCCTTTCTGTGCTAGAAACCCAGACCGTACCCAATTTAATGAATACTGTTACCCAGTAGCAAGGCTCAGGGTGCCCCCTGTTAACAACCTATCTACTCTATGGTTCTATCAACAGGGCTATGCCCTTGCAAAGTTTATCCAAACCCCGGTATCCACTTCACAGCATATCCCTAGTACTTTGGTTCCCCTCCACTTTAGTCCTAAACTACTAATCTAGATGGCCCGAAAGGACTGTAATCTGTCCTTGGTTCATCGGCTCTACCATGACCTTTTCCTTCAGTTAACCCGGTGGCCTGGTTGGTAAATCGGCTTTACCACAAACCGATCGTGCCTTGTCTGGTTCTTCTACTTTGGTTTTCTTTTCCCAGGTCTAGCCTTTACAGTAATACCGTCGAAGATTTGTGCTATCTCTTCACTCGGGTCTTTCCAAATAGGTTCCTGTCCTCCCAGTCCTACAGGTTTATGTGACCTAGGGACTTATCGAGTGTTTGCACCACCTATTGCCAGTTTGTATTTCTCCATATAACCCAAGGTTGAATGGATGCCCCAGACCTGCCAGTCATGCTGGTGCGACCATAGTTACAGGTATCCTATCCCAACTGATTGACAGAAGATGGTTGCCATAATACAGGTAATTATTCGAATTTTTACTATTGGTGGGTTTTGAACTCTTGACCTGCCACTTGGTAAGTATGACAACCTAACCACTACACTAGATCACCATACCTCTAATTCTGAATCTTTAATCGTTCCTTTTGAAAAAAATTCAATCATATTAATGGTTAGCCATTATGTTTAGAATATGTATATAATCATTACTGTTAATATATTAACTTCATACACCAAGTAGCTTAGTTATGTCATGAAAAATGTCATGGTCTTGTAATCAATAATCTCTACAGTCTGGGTAATTCAAATTACATGTTTGAATTGTCATATCAAAAGTGCCCATCATCACAAGACCATGATATTTTTATGCATGACCAACCTATCTTCAAAACCTATTTATTATATACCATGTTATATTACTTTTCCTCAGGTTACTTTGGTTCAAATGGTTCTAATTTCTTCTTCTGAAGGTGATTATGTTCTCACTCCTGAAGATCTTCCAAGTCCATCTCCTTTGTTAATTTATACTGCTACTATGGTACCCGATTTATATATTCCTGATAATCAAGGTAGATGAAAAAGTTTTGTAATGGCGAGACGGTTATATAACAAGGTCACTAATAATAAAAATGTTGAGTCAAAAGTTATTATATCATATACAAATGAAAACAACCGATATAATGCTATGAAAAATAATTTAAAAAAGACAGTCATGTCTGTTATAGAGCATTTGAAAATTGGATCAAAAAAACTTCTCCATATTCTTGCTTCTGATATTGAATGAACATATGTTTCTAGTGATTTCCAGCCCTCAAGTACTACAAGTAACACAAGAGTAACTTCAGAAGTTGAACTTGATGTACATCTTGACAGTATTAAAGAAAAGTATGCTATGCTGACATCCCAACTTCCACAAAAAAAAACCAAGAATTAATTTGCGTAACTTGTTGGATAATAAACATTCAAATGATAAAACCATATCTTTTAATTTTGCTGACCTTATTTCACAAATCCAAAAAGGGACTCCTTTCGCTTGAACAACCTACGCGGAACCCTCCTCATCAACTGCCAATTGTGAATCTTCATCTCAGAATACAAATTAAAATATTCCTTCTCGTGCAACTCATGTTGAAGATGAAGATGATACCCTTATAAGTAATAATGATTCTATTGAGCCTTCTCATGTTCAACCTCAGAATACAAAACCTAATACTAAAGGTAAACGTGCTCACACTGCAAAAAAATAAGCACTTAATATTTTTTTTTTTTTTTTTTGCGTTATCCTTTTTGTTTTCTTTAACAAATGCCATCTGATAATTGTATTTGTTATCTTACCTTTTAACTTTACTACTCTACTATTTTTTTAATGCTACTTTTCCCTTTTATATTATATTAATTTTTTAAAAATAAATTTTATATTGATAAATTATGAATATAGTCATATCTAGATTATATGCCCTTTTATTTGTTGAGCAAAATAAACTCTTTTTCTTATATGTTTTTATATTGAATCATTTCCTACCATATAATGATGTTTATTATAGAGAATAATCAACAGTTAATATAAAATAATTACTTTTGACAGATCAAATTATGTGCTCTTATCATTGTAGTGAAAGTGTATATAAATGCGCTTGTAGAGTATACGTATATGAAATATCTACTTAATATCGCAATGGTAAATTATATACTACATTAGAATCCACTTTAATTTGTGATGCTCATGAGTACTAATTCAAGACCATATAAATCATTTTAAAGAACAAAATTTTTATAATAATATTCACGAGCATTAGATAATCTTATGTATATCTCCAGAAATTGAAATCCGTATAAAAAAAAAATGTTATAATATATCACTTATGTATTCTTTCGTATACGCATATCATGCTCGATAATGACAGTAATATACTGCACTACTTTTTTCTTTTAAGTTCTTAATAAAGTATTTGAATAAGTACCATTCTACATAACAATTACTTTACCATTATCATATTACTTACAAACTTCCTCATATCCACGTTATACTATACTATACTATGTGTTATCGATGAATTGCTTTTAAATCTACCGTTAAATTTCTAATTCTAACTGTACTTATATCCTATTACAAAAAAATTTTTCATATTTATCTGTTAATAAATACCTC